ATGAGTATAGATATGAATTGAACCAATCATGAAGGGCACATGTAACCTTGGTATTTTAATGCATTTCTTAACATATAAATATGTGTGTGATATTTTAGTCATAGTGTGGTTCTGCTGTGTTTAAAGTGACTCCTGGCCAGTAGCTAATAAACATTCAGGCAAAGAGTGACCTGGGACTCGCGTGTGGTAGTTTACAATGGGGCTAAAAGAGGACTCATGTAAAAGGCACATTTAAAATTATTACAGACATACTTTGAGACAAAAGTCTTGTTAAAATGTTCTCAGTTTTGTTGAAGGTAATTACACCAACAGTTTTTCAATAACTGAAGAATATGAAAAGTGCAGTATTTGGGGTAAAAAAGCATCCCTATACTGTTAGCTAATGTGATAAATAGCTGTCTGACTTTCCATTTGCTGACATGATATGGTTAATGTAGACAACAGCATTTATTAAGTTCATTATTGTCCACCTTAGAGATAATCACCACATTTTTAATGAAACTTGGTATTTAAAAAGATATAACTCACAAGATATAATAAAATATGATATTTATTGAGACTACTGTAAAACCATATTAAGTTATAATGGGATCTTCAAGCAGTGTAATAATCTTTTTAAAATAAACATTTATTTTGATATTTTTATTAGTGGGTGCAGGAAACTATAGTTCATAAATGTAAGTGAGGATAGCAAAATAAAGTGAACTGTCACATATTATACCCAAAAATGCTTCATACAGTAGACTACCAGTAAAATTTGGGATCAAAAATTATTCAGACACTTTGACCTGAGCATGTTTTGCTGAGGGCAACAAACAAAACCACTGCTAACGGAAAACACATTTGTGTAATTTTACCTTTTACTCGAAACCTTTTAGTTACTGAGATGTGAAGAGACTCACTGTAGTTTCTTCAGTTTACAGTGTGGATCCTCCAGTAGAGCAGAGAGCAGCTTCACTCCTGAGTCTCCTGGTTTATTACGGCTCAGATCCAGTTCTGTCAGGTGTGAGGGGTTTGATCTCAGAGCTGAAATCAGAGCAGCACAGCCTT